ATTGAACTCGAGGAGGGGGCGCAGCCAACCTGTAAGAACCTATGTACACTATGTTAGCCAAAAAAAAAAACTAGACTCAACTACTATCCTTTACTCTGATACTAGACTCGAGGATACAAGGGCAACCCCTAACATCACTGATGGGTGCCAAGGTATGTTACTTGTAGATTCTGCTGGGTTCTACTTTACATAGTTGCGGACTTGCGGTAGTTATAACGTTACGAGAGAACATGCACGTGTGCTATCTTAGTTTTTTCTATTCAATTTATAAACCCCCTTGCTTTCCAACAGTGTTTTTTTTTCCTTCAGATATCGACGAGTGCCTACAGCCAGGTGTTTATCCCTGCCATGGGACCTGCATCAATATGCCAGGGACATACCGATGCTCAGCAAAGAAAAGAATCATCAACTTACCAGGTACAGAAAACACACTCAATAAGGCTTTTGTTGGTGACAATTACAAAGAGAAAAGTCCATGTTTTGTTCGTCAACTATTGTGAGTTTAGTTTTTTGCCCCTGAACTAATATACAGGTAAGTTTTACTAGAAATTTTTTACAGTTAGTTATTTCTAATGCTAACTCAAAGCATCAGTAGGATTGTTGATCAGTCAGACATGGATAACAAAAAGAAACAAAAGAATGACTATAAAGTACTTCCAATATGAATGGTCTAGTAGATATTATATACCAAGAAAACCTTTTTTATGGTATAGTTGAGTAGTCTGAAACAGATTCAATGCAGCAGCTTGATTTCTTGAAGTGAACAAAACATATACTGTTCTATCATTCTTACGTTTACTTTCTGCAGGTCTAATTACCATAATAGCAATTGCTGCTGGTTTTAGCCTACTGTTTTCAGTCCTAGGTATTGCCCAAGTCACAAAAAAACTCAAGAAACAAAGAGCCAAGAAGTTCAGACAGAAGTTCTTTAAGAAAAACCATGGATTGCTTCTGCAACAGTTAATCTCTTCGAACAAAGATATAGCCGAAAAGATGAAAATTTTCAGCTTAGAAGAGCTAGAGCAAGCAACCAACAAGTTTGACCATAATCGGGTCCTTGGCGGCGGTGGGCATGGCACAGTCTATAAGGGCATCTTATCTGATCAACGTGTTGTGGCCATCAAGAAGGCCAAAATTGTAGTTCAAAGGGAAATCGACCAGTTCATAAATGAGGTTGTCATACTTTCACAGACAAACCATAGGCATGTGGTGAAGCTCTTTGGCTGCTGCCTCGAGACAGAAGTTCCTCTACTAGTCTATGAGTTCATATCGAATGGAACTCTATTGTATCATCTCCATGGCCAAAGTGAGAACCCTTTGTCATGGAAAGATAGATTGAAAATTGCATTGGAAACTGCAAGGGCTATTGCATATCTGCACTCTGCTGCTTCCATATCTGTATACCATAGGGACATCAAATGCGCAAATATATTGCTTACTGATACTTTAACAGCAAAAGTATCAGATTTTGGAGCTTCAAGGTCAATTGCAATAGATGAGACAGGAATACTTACAGCCATCCAAGGAACTTATGGTTACCTTGATCCTGAATACTACTATACCACTCGACTCACGGAGAAGAGCGATGTTTACAGCTTTGGTGTTATCCTAGCAGAGCTACTGACGAGGGTGACACCAGTTTTTTCTTCTCATTCGTCAGAAAGCACAAGCCTTGCATCTCATTTTGTGTCACTTATAAGGGATAATCGATTCTTAGATATTCTAGATACACAAATTGTTGAGGAGGGAGGGGCTGAAGATGCTGAGGTGATTGCAAGACTCACAGAAGCATGCTTAAGTTTAAAAGGTGAAGAAAGGCCTACAATGAGACAAGTGGAGACAACACTTGAAGATGTGCAGAACTTAAAGGTCAATCTCAGTTCTCAGATCACAAGAGTGAACCAGAGTGCTATAAATGCTCAGTCATACAAGGGAAGCAAAGGCAGTGAAGGAACTAGGCTGTACAGCTTGGAAAAAGAGTTCATCCATTCATCTGAAATTCCAAGATGATTTTGCTTACATGGTGTAGTGTTGCTGTTACTATTATTAGTTTGGTGTCATACTGTATATCAAGTGTCAATTGGGAACTCTGAATTATAGCTATGTATGTATGATCTATGCTAATGGGTCATGTAGAACCATGTGAAAGTAAATAAAGGTAATTCGGTTACAGTTTCTACAGTTAAACATGTACTAGTTCTTGACACCGAAGTTCAAAAGTTTGCGAGAACTCATGTTGATGGGAAACCATGAATGTACATATTTCAAGCACCTAATTTCCATCACATAGACTTGAAGGGCACTGAAGATAGCTACAAACAAACTTGTGAAATGCTTTGTTGCAGGCACTTTCACTGATGAGAAGGCAATGCAAATTTAACATTGCAATCAGATGATCAAAATGGCAATTCAGCAAAACCACTCTAAGGTGTTGCCATCTTGGCAAATCCAGAAAGTGAAGCGATTGCTTCCCCTGTGGTCAAATACAGGCTGTCCGGCCTGAAATGATTGTGTGCATCATTCGCTCGTTGTATTTTCTCCATGACCTCTCCAGTTGGATTCACAAGTACAAGCTGCGAAGGGAGAGAAAAAGGTAAATTTGTCACATAACTTAACTGATAGCTTGTGAACAAGAGATTTGTTTTTTGCAAAATTTGAACTAGAGATATTAACTTTTCATATATATGATGAGTATACCTCTAGGCCATGTTTCTCTGTTGATTTCTTTAGGTCAATGAGGAATGCTATGCCACTTGTGTCAATTGTAGGGACAGCTGAAAAAGGGAAAATATGTATGATGCGTCAGTGAAAACACTACATTTCTGATAAACATCATCAACTAATTTGAATATATCATTTTTAAGGCCTGATCTAACACTTAGTTGCAACCATGCTTTCAGCTACTTGTAGAAAGCTAACACTGAGGTGCATCCATATGGTTTATTGAACTTGAGTTAAATAATACGAATAAGAATGCTAAAATGTGAAGCGAACAAAACAAAAATCTCGGGGGTCACTAACCTGATAGATCCAAGATTACAACACGGAGTTCATTTTGTTTATTCCCTGAAGAACTTTCATCCTCTATCCATCTTTTAGTCCTACAAATGGAAGTATTGCATTGTAACTTATTCCGCAGTTTGACTTCAACATTTCTGTCCAGTAATAGGAGTTTCTTTTTACCTTTCATTCAGATAGTTGGTGTTTGCAAAGTTTATGGGGGCCTCAACTGTCAATATCAAGAACCCAGGAACTCTTTGGGCCTCCTTATACTGATGGAGGTTCCGGTAAATATCTGTTCCCTTGATATTGCCCTGAATCATCATCCTTGGCCTCGTGATTTGCATCAATACCCTAAATATCGATATACCAACCTGCATATTTGATAAATTTCAGTAACTACCAAGCAATTAAAGTAGCAACTTCCTCTATAGAAAAATAAGCAACATGTTGGTTACCGCAATCGCGAGGCCTTCTTGGACCGAGATGAAGATGACACCAGCAAATGCACACAGACACACGAGGAAATCCATCTTGTCCATCTTCCAGATGTTGTACGCAGCAGGGAGATCGATCAGGCCAATGACGGCAGCGATGATGATTGCTCCAAGGACAACATTCGGCGTGTATACGAACAATGGCATGAGGAACAGCAGCGTGACCATGACCGTCAGCGCCATGACCACATTGGACATGGCGGTCTTGCAGCCGGCATTGTGGTTCACAGCAGAGCGAGAGAATGCTCCTGTTAGAAATAATAGAGAGCCATCAAGCTTTGGACCTCTAGTTGTGTGCATCGTATGATGCAGAGCCCGGGAGGCTTGTCCTTCTATTATTATCTAAAAAACAACCTTCCTACGCAGGTATTGATCCTTCAGTTTCTCTACAAGGAATGCAAGAGGATATTGGAGGTTATTTCAAGTCCAGAAATGTAGGCTACCTGTTGTCACATAGCACGATGTACATGAGCCCACAATGTTCATCAACCCGATGGCCATCATCTCTTTGTTTCCGTCCACCTGGTAGTCCTTGAGTGAAGCAAACGTCCTACCAACCGCTACTCCTTCCTGTCAGAGCAAAATTCAGGGCACTTCAGAGTTTCAGTGGCACTGGCTATGAAAAATACATTGCAGCTACTTAATTCCAATTTGATGCGCTTTTTTAGTTTTCCAATTTGAAGTGTGTTAGAGTTTTTTTTTCCGGTGAATCTTTTTAGTGCAGTGTGAGGGTCATATGTAGCATACCGTAAGGGAGATGATTCCGGTGACGAGGCCAGTCTTCATGGTGAGTCCAAGATATGTCGGGTCGAAGAGCAGTTTGTCCCATGAGGGGCGATTCAGGCCACATTTGAGCGAACCAATCTGCGGCAAAAAAGATTCATATATTTGTTGTTTGCCATCATGTTGCATGACACAGTTGTAAAAAATATGAACAATTGTTCAGTCTTTGTTGATCTCTTACGATGCTGATGCCGTGGTTCTGCGCTTTGAACAGGAAGACGAGCAGGGTGGACACGATGACGGACGCCAAGGGAGCGCACGCTGAGATCCAGAAGAACCTTGGCCATCTGATGCTCTGCATCCACACCCGCACGCAGAATATCAGACGAGTAAGTACGAGTGCAGGAGTCAGAATCAGTAATTGCAGGATAAGAAACAGATCTGATTTTAGGTTATAACAAAAAAAAGGAAAATTCTCTACCAGTTTCAGCATAGACAAGCCCATAGCAAAAGCAGTCAAGAATGAAGTGAGATAGGCAGGCTTGCCATCAGCACCGGCTATCAAAGTAGGTAAGTACAGGATGCCTCAAGAACTTTACTACTACTCAGAATGAACCGGGCTGGACAAGGTTGCCAGCAGCACTGCAGGAGTTAGCTAAGCTAGGCTCGACGGTTGCAAGAGTGAGTAGATTTAGTTTTAGGTTCTGGAAATGGAAGGCCGGCCGGCTGTCAGTTTCTGAGCGAAAGCAGAGTGAAACAGGGCTGTTGTCAGCACTGTCTACTGAAGTGCTCAAGACCTTTTATTATTCTCGACGAATCTTCGTTTGGAAAGAGGTCAGTACTGAAAGAAGATGTAGCTGCAGAAGTAGAGAGCAAAGTTCAGACTTTGCAGGTTGCGCATGTGAGTTTCTTCTTTTTTCTGTTGTTTGCCGAGGAACCGCAATGAGTATGGCCTTGAGAGGCGCAACTCTACTCCTCTAGACTAGAGCTAGCATATATATATATAGATCAAGCAGTAGCTAGCATATATATATATAGATCAAGCAGTAGCAGTTGCACTATTGTGGGCTTGGGGAGCTTGATTTCTCAAGCCAGCACCCATGGGTTCAGTCATACAGCAAGAATGCAGACTTGATTTAGAAATGAAAAGTTGTCTGTCAGTTTCAGAGTACATCAACTGACCAACCCATAGCAAAAGCAGTTAAGAATGAACCGAGTTGGACAGGGTTGCCACCAGCACTGGCTATTAAAAGTGTGGCTCAAGGGCTTTGCTATTCCCAACCAGTATTTCATTTGGAAAGAGGTCAGTGCTGAAAAAAATGTAACTGCAGAAGTACAGAGCAAAGTTGAGACTTTGTAGGTTGCAGAAGTATATATAGCTTCAGTGATTCAGCTGTGCAGCTGAGATTAGAATGCTGCAGGTTCAGTGAAGTGAAGGTCGCAGTAGCTGGGACTGGGAGTGGAAACAATGGTCCAACGTTGCAGTGAACGTCCCTCGTCACTGCGGATGACCACTTGGCCGCGAATCGAACGTGACAAGTCACCGCCCGCCCGCTTTTTCTCCCGCGGTCTCTTTTCTGAACACGACGTCGACCCGTACTACTAACCTTTTCCCCCTGTCAACTATCAAAAATCTTATATATATTGCGGGTAAAGTAAAACACTGCCGGAGGCGTGCATCCATCCGTTCACCGGGTGCTACTCCGTATTGTACACATCTACCCATCGTCCTCCCGTGGACGGAGTGAGATATGCATCTCGCATCATCAACGACCACGACTACGACCACATGCGTACATATGTGGCCTGGCACGTACCCGGCGTTCCTAGAATTTTCTAGCCCAGCCGACCGACGGCACGTACGTACAGGCACAGGTAGCTGCACGTACGACGTATACTGGTACACGGACAACGCAATAATGATATGAATAAATATAAAGTAAAGAGAAGATAAAGTTGTCTTGAAGCAGAGCGGAACGCAGCAGCAGCAGCAGCAGCATTTGGGCGTTTTGGCGCGTAGGGCAGCAGGCCGATCGGCGCCGGTCAACTGTGCACGACGAACGTACGTACGTAACGTAACAGAGGAGACAAAGCGTGTTGGAGCAGAGCAGAAACAGCATTTGGTGCCTTTGGGCGCTGGTCAACGGTGCACCACAGTGGCGGGATAGTACGTACCACGTGCCTGGCCGCGAGCAGGAGCGCCAGGAAGCAGGCGCCCATCAGTATCGTCTGCCACGACCACTGCACGTATGCACAAAAGAAAACATTAGCTATCTAGCTAGGCATGCACCGTGCACGTACGTGTGCATTGCATGTGTACGGTTGAGAGATGGCCGGACCTCGTTGGTGTGCTGGAAGACGGAGGCCATGACGGGGACGATGCCCATCTGGGTGGTGAAGTGCACGATGCCCAGCAGCGCCTTGAGCTGCTGCAGCGACACGATGATGGCCGCGCCCGCCATGAACCCCACCAGCGTCGCCTTGGACAGGAAGTCGATGATGAACCCCAGCCTACACAAGCACATCCATTGTTATCGTGTATCGTGTCAGTCCCGGTGCATGCACACACACACACATGAGACTATGAGAGAGACGTGGCCGGCAGCTGACCGACAGGCCACGTACGTACGCACGTACCTGAGGATGCCGAGCGAGGCCTGCACGAGGCCGGCGAAGAAGGTGGACGTGAAGGCCAGCTGCAGGAACAGCATGGGCTCCGCCGACGGGCTCACCGCCTGCCGCAGCATCGACCCCATGATCAGCGACGCGATCGACACCGGCCCCACCGCC